TGTATGTGTGTTTTCGCATTCGCATTCTGCTATAATGAAATGTAACAATGTCACGGCGAAATTGCGTTAACGTCTGCCCAAACGAATCTTCACGAGTACTGAAGTACTATGCTTACGTTTGTGTGTGTGCATGCGCGTGTATGTGCTATAGATGCGTTGATAGATAAACGTTGACAACAACAATAACGCACATTCAGAAGCGGAAAGTGACTGCAACCCCAACTACACCGGCTGCGTGTTGCGATTCCCATATACTTGTATGGTATATTCACTCTTTTGAGCAGCAAAATATTCATACACTCCCAACAAACTCTCCCTCATCTAGCCGAAATTCAGAAACGCTCGGGCAGTTTTCATTGCAAATCTGCAATTATCTATGCTCATGTTGATCGCTTTTCCTTAGTAATAAATCGTTTTGAAATTTTCGCATTTTCAATTAGTAGCAGGACTTCGTACGCGTTGGAATAGAAATTGTGTCAATATGAAAACTTTAATATTTTGAACACAAATCTACGTCAAAGTTCGTTAAATAATTTGCCGAATAAAAAAGTTTACTATATAAAAATTTGATTTTGATTGCTCAGTTTGTATGGCAGCTATATGGTTCAGATAGAATCTCTGAAAGTGAAGAACTACTTAGTGTATTATATACACATAGACGGTCGTTGTGTGACCTGTGATTTGGGTAATTTGAATTTCCTCATAGAAATAAAATTATTGAATAATAAAATAAGTCACATTACGTAATGTAACACTCTAACACATATACACATACTCATGTAGGTACTTGTACTTGTGATGAATTATTTCTATTAAAAGTCATAAAGTCTTCATTATTATTTAACACTTGAATAAAAGGTGATAAAACTCGACTAGAGTAGGTGACCACTTAACAAGCCAATAAAATGTCCATTGCAGCTATTAAAAGAGAAAAGGGTCGAACAATTATGCTAGAAACGGATTATCGGTTCAAGTGGCTGCTAAAGCGATATTGAGCTCGTGGTACTTGAAACAGGATAATACTTAGTAAGCGAATAAATCTAAAGCGCCATTAAGTGGAAGAGGGTGGCATAAAGTAACACTTGGTATTGCTATATTTTAGATTGCTGCTTAGTCGCTTTTATTTCGCACGAATGCTTGTATTCGGCAAAACGTCTTGCATAAGCCAAAAGGTGGCTGAGGAAGTCCAAATTAAGTGGCATAAATGGCAAGTGTAAAATACAGCGTCAATAAATCGGTAAATAAAATGTACATAAACAAGGGAAAATAGAAAAAATAAGCGAAAGATTTCGTTAACAACAACTCCACCGCCTTTCCGCTTGAATGTATACCGAAAACATTGTATAAGTTAGGCGAGGAGGAGAAACAACTTTCAGAGCTTTTGAGTCAAATTAAAGTCTCGTTTGTTAATTTATTTTCGATTAACAGTTATAAGGTATGAAGCGCAAGTTTTCGTGACTCACTTACCTATTGCTCGGAAGATTATCGATTCGTCTTCAAAAATAACATACTTAAATTATAAAGGAGGGTACTTCTAAGCGTTAGCTGCTGAACTAGCGAAAACTCGAAATGATTTTGGCATTTTAATCAAATAACAAAACGTCAAGTTGCTAAACTCCCACTTGTAGAGTTCTGAAATGTTCTTCAGCTGTAGCCATAAATTAAAAAGGCATTTGCAACTGCAAATAAATGTGTTACACTGCTCGTCAAACTGTTTAAAGCACTACTTGCCGAGAACTTCGCACTCAGCAACACTTTCGATACAATTGAACAACTCGAGCTGAGCGTGCAATCAACCGGGAACATTTAGATTTTCCAATAACTGACTTTCTAAGTTATTATTGCTGAGCGCAGAACTGGGTGTACCGTTAGTTTTTATGAATTTCGCTGACGTCTGTGCCACTTAAGTGTGAAAAGAAACATTTTCCGATGCTTTCGCAAATATTGCTGCATTGCTGTCTTCCACCATCTAAATACATATACATATATATATTATGTATATAAGTATGCATGCATATTGTATATAGGAACAAGAGCTGCTGGCCTGTGTTCAACCATGCTCCGCGTTACGGTGCTTGCTTAAACGAAATCATTAGTCGTGGTTGAAGTGGCTGTGTAGGATCTGAAATGTGTTTTGTTTGTGTTTTATTTTAGGTTAGGTGCAGTTGCACTCAGCTGCTAGCTGATTTACTCAGCTCACGCAATATTGCTGGCTTGAGTTGAGGTGGTGTCAGCGAAAAATGACAGCCACTAAGACTTGTAATGATTTCCACAAGTTTATTTTTCTCTTTTTTACCGTTACTTTGCGCCCTTATTAGACTGAATTCATCTTCTTCATGTTTAGCAAAATGCCACATGCATAACCGCCTGTACATCAGCTGGAATTGCAAATATTTTGCCTCACTTGACTTCTCTCATTTCATTCCTCATAGTTTCTGCTTTTTTTCTTCGGGGATCACCTTCGACTTATCGGCAAATTACAGTCGCTACTGCAACATAATGAGTTTTTATGACGGTAGTAGTGCTCATGTTGTGGGCAGAGTTGCCATTACTAGCGGAGTCACAGGGCAGTCAGTCTCCTTGTGATTTCCTGCAATTATTTCGATTTATACGAGAATATGCCAAATGATGAGGCAGAAAATTGTAAGAAACCTCTTGCAGCTTTGTAACACTGCTCGGTCGTTTAATCAACTGTGGATGGACAACGATTGCACGAAGCTCTATATTGATATGTCAATTATACATATATATAATAAGCAATAGTGGAAAAGTTAGGTGTAGACCAGTGATGCAAGTTGATTTAATTTGCCGAAAATTGTCTACTACACAATTTCGATTTAATGTCACTGATAAATAAAATTGTTTACAACAGACCGTGCCTCAGTGAAAATGTGTTTATTTCGTATTTGTAGCAGGGAGTGCCCACTCCGCACAGAGTAGTTAGGAGAGATGAGAGACCGCCGTGCAGAAGGCCGCTTAATGCATGAATGCCGAACACAGTAAGTTAGGTGTAAGTTGCCAAATAATAGGTGAGGTAGTAAAATATTTGGAACTTCGAGCTGTACTATATTTTCAAATAATATTATTAAAGTAAAACTTTTCCTACTGGGTTGCTTTATCTAAGCACTGTTTTAGCTGCTAGTCTTCTGGTGGGGGGTGCTGAGTTAATCTGCTGATGCGTGCACATTAAATTCTCTTTTTACGATTTAGCATTTTTTATGACATTTTCATGAGTCATTATGTGTGTGCATGCCTGATTGGTTGCGCATTAATTTTTGCTTAATAACGTTAAAATTTACTTTTAAGTGTAGATTGGCTGTGGAAAGTTATTGTTATAACTTGAAGGTAATCTGTAAATGTGACTCTCGTGGTGCTTCTTTATGAGAGAGACGGTCCGATAGTTTGATTTTTTTCAAAATAGTCGATAGCTGTTCATCTGCACTCATTCAGAGACTTCACAATTTTCAAACTCTAAACAGGGCATATTAAAGTTACCACGATGTTTGTGACATCCAAAAGGAAATGTCGGAGATCCTTTCTCCATATATGATCAGCATGGTGAGCTGAGTGGAGACCGTGATGCCCGTCCGTTCGTCGGCCTGTTTATACGCAAACTAGTCACTCAGTTTTTGAGACATCGATCTGAAATTTTGCACGGTTACGTTTACTTATCTTTCTTCACAACCGTTACAATAGGGAGACGAATACGTTACAGACATGATTATTTATTTTGATTTAGAAGTTATCTAGTGATATTACTTTGGGAAAATCATTAAGCCCAAGCCAGAATCCCTTAATGTTTGATTAATGAACGACAAAGTCTTGTTGCATATTTTCAGCTTTTCGTAAATATTTCGTTGTAAGTAATATTTTGATTATTTTCCAAGTCGGACTACAAATTAAATGAGGCGCTGCTGTCCAATCTGTTTTTCAATCAATTTTGATTTTTTTTTAACTTTCAGGAGAGATCGAGTATGCATATCTCGATGCTTATGTTATTATTGCACTCCAGTCTTCTTGAAAGTCCGTAACTCAATTGAGTTTGCTTTTATATAAACTGGTGGAAGATTTTAAGTTACCACACTTAAACGCATAAATACGCTGGATAGAAACATACAAGAATTGTGGGTAATACATACTTGTATATTACACTCAAGTAACAACAACAAAATACAAGTAATAACACACGGTTAACCTCTTAGTGGTGTTTAGGTAATTGAGCGTAAATTGTTCGGCGTGTCAAACGATTAACTGCTCGAATTGTCGTAAGTGCCTTACAAAAGCATAGAGTATATCGTAGATGCCGGAGTACCACATACTAATATTTGTATGTCATAATTGTGCGTTATTTCACTATACCACAAATTTGAATACCGCCAATGGACTTGAATATTCTAATTCATTAAATGTTACGATAACTTCGCGGATAGCAGAACACCAAGCTATTTCTAGATCAGGTTATATATCATGTACATGTGTGCGAAGTGAAGAGAGCATGTTTGCAAATGTTTAAACGAAAGTTTGGATCCATATATTGATATGATTGGATCTTTTATTGATAAATTATAAATTTGAAGAATTCTTCAAAGGAAAGTGGAAAGGCGCGAATAGAGAAATTCGCTTGAGCACATCAATGAAGAGAAAGCATCATTGGGTTAGGTTAGGTTTAAGGGCTGATCCAGAGATCGTAAATGTATAAAAATACGGACCATACGAGTTTTTGAAGTCATTCCAACATTTAACATAATGTCAATGCTTTTGTAAAGGCTACTTGCGTCGAATGCGTGGCTATAAGTTCGTTCATCGAATAATTTCACTATTTAGTTCACAGCATTGGCTATAAATACTACCGGGAGCATTCAAAGTGACTTGATTGCTTCATTGTTTATGCTTCACAGCACACTCACACGCACTCCTTCACATCGTGCACCCTTTTTTCTTCCATTTCCTTTTATTGCTCTATTTTGTGTCAAATGTGGCATGTTCAGGGAAGCACTTACCTGTCACGGTGCTATGCCGTGCTGCAGAGGCAGCGAGGTTCCTGGGCAATGTCATGCAATCACCCATAGATACGCCTGCGCCACTAGTTAGCAATAAATTGCCACGTGAGTCGAGCAGCGCTGCCGTTATGCTGGTACCACCGCCATTGCCGGAGTTGCCAACAGCACCGCCACTCACACCTGAATTGCGTCCGTAATTCACGGAGTTGGTGTGATGTAATGCGCCGGCCTTAGGGAGCGTCATCATGCCGGCATTGTACGCGATATTGCTGGTCATTGTGACTGCGCTACCACCGCTGCCACTGCCGCTTGTCGCGATGCGTCCGAATGTTTGTGAATTCATGCCTTTGATTTGCATGTGCTCTCTTTGTATCTGTTGTTGTATGTGTTGCTGTTGTTGTTGTTGATGCTGCTGTTTAGTTGTCGTGCTATAGGTCACGTTGCAGCTGCCACCACTGCCCATTAGCCCGCCGGATATGTCTGGCGACCCGCTGACCATAATAGTGCCGCCTTGTTGCTGTTGTTGTTGATGTTGCTGCTGCTGCTGCTGTTGCTTGGCGGCCGAGGATGCTATACCACAGAGGTCAATACTGCTGCCACCTGCTTGTTGTTGTTGCACTGAGCCGCCCATCTGCATGCCGGTGTTTGCGCAAATATGCGATGGTGGTGGTTTAACGTCCGCTGCATTTGCGGCTGCTGCCGCGGCGGCCAATAACATAGCGCTGGGGTCGCCACCATGATTCTCCACGTCTACAATAACATTTGCACTCTGCGAATGTCCCATGTGGTAGTGCGCGTGCTTAATGGGATCGGGTGGATAGGGAACTTGCTGGTGCATGCTGCGTTGCTGGTATTGCTTCTGCAAAGTCTTCACCTCCAGCCGTGTTTTGTCGCGCTGGTAGTAGACGCCAGCAAATATGAGCACGTTGAGGATGAGTAGACTGCAACCGATGGCAATGGTCACGCTTAGTGCCGTAGAGTATGCCGCATAGCCGGCTGCCTCAAATCCAGAGGACAGTGAGTCGGTCGAGGAGTTGGCCAATGTGTTGGGAGCGAACGCGCCGCTGGTGGCTGCGCCAGCACCGGGTGTGTAATTGCCGCCGATGGGTATGCATGTGGTGAACATATTCGGCTCCACGGTGGTCACTGCAAAGAAATGGACATACATTAAGAGAGAGGGGTTATTGATTTCAGAAGGTAATATTTTAAATGGAATTTTTAATTGAGCTGTGTTTATGCATATGGTACATGAGCTTGTGTTAGCGGGCAATCTGAAGTTTGAGTTAATGAGCTACATAGGTGTGCGAGTATACGCCCCGGGTATAGATTGTTCCTTAATTTGGGAAGTTGGAATTTGTTTTTTTTTTATAAGCAATGTGTTTATTTACATGCCTTACCTAGGCGGTTGGGACTTCAAGTACTACACATTTCCGGGATACTTTCTGCTACAGCGATGGAGCTAGAGATCTATAATAAAGCTTTGTTTTAAGGCATACCTCAGTTGCGAACATAACCTCAAAAGGTATTAAAAGCTATGTAACAAGCGAGTGAGGTTTAATTATCATTCCCAAAATCCATTTTACTTTCTAAAAGGAAAAGCTTTAAAGAAAACTTTCACTACTGTTAACCATACTCACCACCAGCGAGAGAAGAGAACAAATGATTTATGCAGTAAATGGATTGAAACAAACAAATCAGCAGTCGCAAACGCTCTGAACATCTGATGGATTTAATCACGTCGAACTTGCATTCTTCGCAGGCTTATTGCTTTGAAAATTCATTCACCAAGTTATTGTCTTAAATGCTGAACACTCGAGAAATCGCTCTATGCAGTGTGGTGTAGAATCCTAAGTTCCACTTACCACTTGCATTTAATTAGCAAAATACATAGAGTATGTCAGAAAATCGAGCGACCAACAAAAGCCATAGATAGAAGCCACCAGTGAAAATGCACGTGACTCTGTGTACTCGCACAAATCGAAGACCAATGCTGCAGAGCGTGAGCGCCTCACGTCAAGTGCGCTTCAGCTTCAGTTACAGCTGCAGCTGCATCTTTAACCGCTAATGCTGTTGTAAGTACCGCTTGTTGTAGCCACTCATTTTGTTGTAATTCACATTCCTCATTTTACATAACTGTAATTGCTGTTGTTGCCATTGTGAAAGCGTAATGAACTTTGCCAGTGAAGTACTTAGGAAGACACTCGACGTCGCCGCGCTACGCCCATAATGATGGACCGATGTGCACTCACCGACCAACAAGTGAATTAATGATAATTGCATTTGTGGTGTGGAAAGGCAAAGAGTGATTCACTGAACAGTGTGAAGGACGCGCGCAGTGTACTTGGAAAACTAAAGCGTACTTTATTTAAGTGAAAGTAGAAAAAAATGCTTTAGTGTCTTTTTTATTAATTGGAAAGAATGTCCGACATTTGAGATCATTTATCTAATCACATCGTTGGCCACGAACTTGTTTTTTTTTCTCGAAATCTTTCCGTGTGGCAGCTAAAGTTGCTTGAATATAGTTGTGGATTGCGGAGGTGGTTCCAGCGGCTAAACGAAAGAAGTCTATTTATGCAGCAGTTGAAGCACTCCGTTGGATAGTTATAATTGCTTTCAAAGTTTGCTAATTGAAAATGTGTCTAAAAATTATTGGGAAAGTACTACGTTTATTAAACGACCTTGTACGAGTTTTTATAAAAGTGACTACTTGTAGAAGGACAGTCATGAATCTACACAGTTCCAATTAATTTTTGTCAATAACTTTACACAAGAAGAGTAAATAGTGTTTTGTATAGCGGGATTTTTGTCGTACGCTAATGTGGTATTAGAGAGCTTTACTTTAGCTCTTCGCGAAGAAGATATTTTTATCGAAAAGATGTTCTAATTTTTTAGCAAAGTTCAATGAATTCGACAAGCAACGAAGTGACAAGCTCGGTATTCAAGCTTCGCACCATCACACTAATTTCCGTCTAGTTAAGAAAAAAATACATTTTCTCTCAAGTGAAAAAATAATTAACTCATTTTAAGTATCAACAAATATGTTATTTGAGCGGAATTTATGCCCTTTCTGCTTATTTAAAAGCACTGATATTTATTACCTGTATCTTTTTGGCTTCATTTCTGCCTTCTGCACTCTTCAGGCTAGCTTTGCATTCACCTTTCCCCTTATTCTCTTTGTACAATAGTACTTTTAACGAAATATTGGGTCAACAATATTTGTTCATCAACCAACTGCATCAACACAGCTATCCGGTAAATAAATATTTTCAATTCCCGCTTTCCGCTCTGATAACGGAGTTTCGTAGCTGTATGCAAATTATTAAATTTTTCTTCGTTGCTTCTTCGGCAAATGCTAGCCGTACAGATAACTGAAAGAGGAGATGGCGAGCGATGGGCACTGCACATCTTTCCCTCGCTTTATTTGTTTGACATATATTCTCTTGCGCGACGTTTCGACCGAATATATTTCTGTTCATTCTCTACATACCATATCCCCGCTATCCGACTTGTTGTAGCCCCCGCTATTGCTGATGATATGCGCTCATTCATTCCGCCCCTGTGATTGTCAAGTTGACAGTCAAGTTGACAATGTCGACAGTGCAGTCAGCCACAGCACGGTACGAGCCGCAGTCGCCACCACCAAGCCGCGGCGACCAGCAGTCAGCTTCCAGTGCCACATGGCTAATGCGAGTCACCACTAGGCCACTGTAGCTGTGACAACGTCCTTGCAGTGTATGTCTGTTTATCTGTCTGTCTGTCTCTCAGTCGTGTTGCATTTTCGCCTACTTATTTATTTGGATGTAAACATATTTGTATGTATGTAAATATATGTGAATTATTTCTATTTATTTCGTTGTTGCAATTGCAATCGCCTTTTTGTAGTTGCTGCTTCCGCCAGTTGTTGCCACCGAGTTCCGTTTGTTTAATTGCGGTTGACATTTTTGTGTGGAGCGTTGTGGCAAGCCAGGAAGAAACCGACAAAAATTAAAGGCAACAACATTGTAGCTGTCATCACAACAATAACAAAAACAAAATCTACACATAGAAAAATTGTGAGTAAAAAAGCTTTGTAAACATTGCGGTGACAGTTTAAATTAGTTCAACCGAAAAAAGTGAATGAAATGCTACGGCTTTTCTCCGGCTTTTTGCCAGAGAGTGAAGAAAATTAAATACGAAAGCCAGTACACATTTGTAAGAGCACACTGCAGGGTGTGTGTTTGGTGTAATAAAGAAAAGGTATGAGAGAAAAGTAAACAATACGGTTGAGTTTACTAAAAACTGTAAGGTATGAACTTTAAATTAGTGCTTACGGCGTTGCCCTCAGTTTATATTGCGCTTGAAAATTTGTTAACTTAAAGTAGTAATTAATAGTAATAAAAAGTTTCACTGCTTTCGATAACGCGCAGTGAATAGCGCATAACTTATAATATATTACCTCAGCATTATTACTCAAAACACAAAATAGAAACTATTTTCATAATCGGGCAATACGCCAAATAAACGACTAAGATCAAGATGCAAGAACAGAGTTCTCAGCAGCTAGCCACATCTATTTCCGGTAAATTTCTTTCAAAGCCATAAAAAGTGTAAAAAGTTCGTTTACTTTTACGCAAAAAAAAAAAACCTTTTATGACGAAGTAATTTTCGCAAAAACAAGAAAAGGCGTTAACTTCGGCTGAATCGTAGCTATAATAAATTTCACTGCGCTCACTTTCCGTTAGACGGAATTTCAAATTTCCTACGACATAGTATAATCGGTTTATTTAATACTAACTATGTGCTTTTAACGTTTGAATTTCTATATGCTTCTATATTCTCCTTTATATAATATTTATGGCGAGCTCAGTTTGAAGTGCGAACCCTACGTTATTGATTCTTCTTTGCTGGGCTTTGTGTGTTCGGGAAAGAAGGTATAGAAGTGGAAAAGAACTCAATTCATTTGAAGTCGGGTATCTCTGCAACGTTTCTTCGTGGTATATTTTCAGGTGCAAATGACAGATTTAAACTCTGTATATGCTTCATCCATCTGCCAGACACGCGCATTGGGTCACATTAATCTTAGCGGCGTTTTCCGCCTTCGCTCGAAGGGAAGTGCGTGAGCCTTATTTTAATGGTTGCGCCGCCTACTAAGCCAGTGCAGCCGCCCACATGTGAATTGAAGTAGCAGCCGCCACACAAACTTAATAACAATTTTTTGTTTTTCGCTTTTTTCTTCCCGACTTTTTCTCAAGCCTTCAAACACACTGCGGCCGACAGTCCGAAAATAAAAGTTGTCTTGTGGCTTCCAAAAAGTTTACGGTTGGGAAATGTCTAACGTGGCGACTACTGCCTTCGCCCCAACAGCCACCGCATCATCATCCACAGCAGTTTTTACACCAGGTCACTTGGTTTTGTTTCTTTACCGTTGCAACAAAGTTCAAACTGGCTCTTTGCGGTTTGGCGGCCAAGATAAACTGTGGTTCTTCTATTATCGCTGGCTTGTGTTCGCTTACACCGCTGCCTGGATTCATTGGTCTTAGACGTTTTCTTCAGTCTCTCCCTTCTATTTTCACTCAAGGCACACTGTGCCACTCAATTTTCTCAGTTTGGCTTTGTCGTCTGCTGAATTGTCCTTAAACTGCTGCCGCTGCTGGATTTATATCCATGTTGCTCAGTTTTTTTGCTCAAGTGGAAAGCTCTGCGAAACTTTGTTGAAATTCTCAATGTTTTTTTTTTTAGTTTTTGTTGTTGTAGTGTATTGGTATGACTTTTAAAAATGTTGCTAGCAACAGTTTAAATTTCAGGTTTGTGCTTTCGTTTGAGTAGTTGGAGAGTAAGTCTCGTCAAGTGCTTGGCTACTTCGGTGTTTTAAGTGCAGTTGGCTTTTATGCATATGAAAGCAGTTGAAAAATTTGCTTAATTAATTGTGGCACAATGTAGAAGTTGAACGAATTGGGTAATTTATTTTAATTTAGTTTGGAGACTACCGGTTTTTGGTTGCTCAATGAAGAATTGCTTTCCGTATTGTGGTCTGAACAAATTAGATTAGAACTTCATTGAAAGAGAATGAAAATTCCATTTCTCGTTGGATAATTAAATAGAGCTCTAGTAATTTGAGTAATTAAAAGAGAAGAGACCAGCTGTGTGAATTCCTAAATATATTGACT